GACAGCTATGCTAGACAAAGCTGGAAGCGACACTTTCACGACCATGTGGCCTGTGGCGGCCGTTGAGCTAGCACCCGGGTGACGGCTGACTGATCTCGACTACACCGGTTATATCGTCGCGCTAGCCTCGATCTTTGGTCATGAGTGGGTGTCGTGGGTAAACGATATCGCTATGACGGTTGGCTTGTTCATAAATAACGAAAAGACCAAATTATTCTCGAACTACATCTCTGACCAGGAGAGGGGACGTCTGGGGATTAGTGGCCGTCAATATGAGGAAGTAGACGGCTTTAAATACCTCGGGGCGAGGCTGCCACCGAATGGACAGAATAAGGACGACATTGCCTCCTGAATCAATGATGTTCACCGATTTTTCTCAATCCTCCAAAAGCGCCTATGGATCCGACGCGACATATCCACCGCCAAGCATCCGTCCGGTCACTCCTCTCCTATGGATGCAAATGCTGGGCTTTGCGCGTGGAAGCCGAGCAAAGACTGGAGGTATTTGACTACCGCTGGCCGAGGACTATCTTTTGAGTGAAGTATACTGACTTCGTCTCAAATGAGACAGTCCGCACTCGGTGCAACAGTATCGCGAGGATATCTCAGGCTATCCAAGAAAGACTAATAAAGTGATTTGGGTACGTTCTCGATCGTCGCCTCACGAGCTTTGTTATGATGCCCTCGATCCGGCCCCGCTGCCCACCTGGAGACGTCGAAGAGGAGGGCACCTCAAAACTTGGCTCCACACCGTGTGTCAAGACATGGAAGCGGTACCTGGACCTTCAGTTTTTGATCTCCGTCGCTGGAAAAGAGAATGGGTGCAGCTTTCCAGAACCACTGCCACCAATCTTCACGCGTGGAGAGGTACACTCCGTGACATCACTGAGGTCAGCTAGATCAGGCATGATCACAGACGTAACCAGTGGAAGTAAGTACGATAAAAAAGAAACATTGCAACCTGACTCACTGACCGCCGATCGGCCACTGCACTCAAATTCATACACACCCAATAACCGAAAAGTAGACGGACATAGAGAAACACCCAGCAAATAAGGGAAAAATAGACACCTCACTGCGTTAATTTCGTAAGAGGCCTGTGCCATTCAGAAAATTCTAAAGTACATTCATTTCTTGTACGTCTAAGTCATTATTAATCGATTTTTGTCGTCATGCGATACACTTATGCAAAGGAAGTTTTCCACATCATGCGTGTACACGAAAAATTAAGAGACCGAGTTTTCTAATGATTCATTGTCTATTTCTGCTCGTTTGCAAATATGCACGACGTACTCGCTATGAAAATGTGGCAAATATTACAACAACATAATGACATGTTCCACTACAGGAATTCAGTTCACCGCCGTTTCAGTTCTGATATACAGACTCGTGCTTTTGGACTTAATCACACGTGATTGCGCTGAACGCTGACGTCAGTAGACGTTTCGCCGTTACTTTAGTGAGCGTTGTTCATGACAATAGTCGTTCTTATGTAAGATGCCTTCTATTGATGTTCTGTATTTAGGACTTGCATTATGCGAAAGCGGATACATCTTAATTTTCGTAATACATTTACAGATAATTTAATTTATCGAAACAAATACATTCCGCGTTACGCAATCAATTTTGGCAGGAAAGTACAGAGTTTAGTTAGATGGACTAGGTAAATAAGATGGAAGACGGTGCGACAAGAAGTATAATAGTGGTAGAGCGTAAAAAGGGTCTGAGAAACTTAAAATATTGATTTATGACGACTAAGTTGACCGATAATGTGGGCTTCAGAGTGGGAGTATCCACCCAAGCAGTCCATGTCTTTGAACTTGCCAATTTGAAGTAGGTATGATACTATCTGCCTGAATATATCGCGAAGCGATGAGTCATGCTTTGGGAGACTGCCAGCTGATAGGGTAAATCGGTCATCGTGGGAGTACTGAGTAGCCGCCGGACTATCAATAAGACTGTAACGGCTCTTTCGCAATGGGGCTCATAGGCATTCACATGAGTGTGAGATCCAAGCCACCTGTTACAGAAACCTAGGGAATGCAGTAGGCACCAGAGTGAGTGTACGAAGCCAACATGGGCTGTTTACTCTTTTCAGTCACTGCGCCAGTGACCATCACTGCTTGTCTTGACATTGTCTGTGCGGTAGATACTAACCAAGTCTGCCTCACTATAAACTGATTCGCGCGCGATTCATCGTTGCTATATCCCTCCGTGGGGTATACAGGGAGTGCCGTCGCTAGCGATGGTCGAAAGGTTCACCTTTTCAGATTAGACTGAAGCTCCGAGGTTGCAATTGTTAGGACGGCCTAACAAACAGCCTTAGCAAGCAGTAGCTTGCAAGCCATAGCCGCACTCCAAGCAGGCTATCGACCGGCCTACACGGGCGAACGTACACAAGCCGTCAATCGATCGATAATTCAAATTTCCAGTTGCAGTCAGTCATCGAGTTATTAGTCAATTGCATTTGTTTGACCCAGATTCTTCTGTGAATCAGTCCACTTCAGCGGACGCAGCTGCAGCTTCTATCACTGAGTTCATCTATGACCCCGACTCCGGCGTTAACTTTAACGCTTGGTTCAAATGTTGGGAAGAAATATTCCGCATGGAATTTGCCGAGGCCGATGATGCATGAAAGGTGCGCCTGATTTTACGCAAACTGGGCACCAGAGAACACGAGCTTTACGCGGATATCATTCTGTCGAAAAACCCTTGCGACTTCACTTTCGATGAAACCGTCCAACGCCTGTCAGAGACTTTCGGCGAGAAGTCCTCCTCCAACAGCCAATCCAACCGGCGACTACGTCAAGAGAGGATCTGATTGGCCCAGTGAATGAATGTAGCTAGAAATTCAAATTATTGATTGATTGTCTAGCACGATGCGTTAGCTCACGCGTAGGCCGATCGATAGCCTATTGTGGACGCGGCTACTTGCTGCCTCTATGCTAGCCGTTGGGTCTCTCCTAACAGCAAGTGCTAATGTTAGAAAGTTTATGAGTGAGCGGATGCCAAGAATTTGAGACCTCAACCTTTTAACGTTCAACTTCCGGGGACATAGATGCATCGATTTCGCAAGAATTTATTCTATTTTTCATGTTTAAAACAGTAGCAGAAAGCGAGTTCAAGCATACCCATGCCAAAATGAAACAATATCGTGGATTTGAGACAATGCAGCGTATCCACCGTGGGTTTCCAGAAGACGGGAGATGGGACAGCAGCTCGATGACTGTCCGTCCCTTCACCGGAGTAGATGCCATCAATGAATAGCCACGGCGTGCTCGGATCCGTTCCAATGTACCCGTTACTAAGGCAGGGCTCCAATAATTCTCGATCATAACTGTGAAGGAAAAAAGAAAGTATAATAACTCCTTGGGGGAGGTATTGTTGGCAAATATCTGTTCTTGATTGTAAATAAAAACGAAACAGATCGATCTGCACGACCACTGACCAACGTTTGTGGCCTTTTTCTGTGAAACATCCAAAAAATAAATCATTTTTGTTTCGAATTTTTTAGGATTCATTGTCATAACCTCCTGAAATTAACTGAAATTAATCAAAACTGTTTGAATCTCGGTGCATTAAGAAATCGGTATGGTTGCGGAAGGCTGTAAGGCCATAAGGCGCACAGCACTCCATCAAATATGAAAAAAATATTTTAGTCACTCATATACTGTAGCAGAGGCATTTTGCTCTCAAACACGTCATTAGAGGGTCCAGGAATATAACCTAGAGAATTCCCAAACCTCCCCAAGTGAGATAAAAAAAGGTTTTTCCACCTACCGCTAGTGATAGTTTTTAACTGCTGTCGCTAACAGGGACGCGCCTTCCCAAGCGACACAACAGGTCAATTTTATAAGACCGGGACAATATAATGCCACCCCCTTCTACTAAATGGTGACAAGCCGAAGCACTACGCCTGCAAAAAGTACACTTACCGATCGTTTAACATGGACGTGCAGTTTTATAAGAGTTTCTATTTTATGGCAGAAGTAATTAGACGGAGCCTAATTTGGCTTCCCAAGACAATGCAAGACATGACTGCAAGTGGTGTGGGTTACAAACGTGTGGAGAGTGGGCCAAAAAAACCGAAGGAGACTGGGAAAGATAAGTGACCACAACCCTTCGCTATCTAGGTCTGCTTATTTTGGCGTGTACCTGGAGAATACGGTCCTGTTTGCTTTGGAGGGCTAGACAGATGTGGTTATAAAAATTTCTTAACCGAGAAAACCTAAGTAGTCAGGAAGACACTGACCAGTGACAAGGGCGTATACTCCGTTTTCAGTCTCGGGTGATGAGGTGTACGCTCGCCTTAAGTGGAAGTAAATAAACTTGTAGCAACTGCCCCCCCCGCTCACTGGTCGATCAATCCTGAGATTACGCACGAAAACCTAGAACGCGTTATCAAAAGTTATTGCGAACCCAACCTACGCAACGTCGCGTTAAGTACTTTCTAAGTATGTAGTCATAAAACTGTACAAATCCAAGGTATCCTAAGTGGGCGACGTGAATGTTGAAAAATATGCGCTTCGAGACGTCAGTCAAGTCTCTGACTCTAACAGAAGACCTAAGAAGAATGGAACGTCGGGAATGGATCCTGATTATTTGGTTTCGGATATATTTGAGCTTGTCTTCAAGAAGGGGGATAAGAACAGGTACAATAATTACTACACTCTAATTATCAAGGAAAATACAGCAAAAGGTCTGAGGTTTCGTCCTCTCTAAATGGTATTACAGTAGGTGTAATACAAGGAAGTGACCCCAAAGGCGGGGAGCAGGGATGGACTTGAAAGCATGGGTAAATGTTCACGGTAAAATGCATTGTCACTTTCAGCCATGACTAGCAAACCCGGAAACCGTTGTCTTTATTGCCGTAATCGGAACATCTGTCACTGGGAAAAATTAGAAATATTGTTTCACCGGTACCCGGATTCTTGTTTCCCCAATCCCCGCAAACCATTTGATATTATATCAGAAATTCGACGGGGACACATTCTGACAAGAACTTTATTCATTTAGAGTTTCGGATTCACTCTCGAACACATCATTATGAACAGTATAAGGCAATATTTTCCGTACCCGGGAATACATTCTGTCACCCGTTGTACGCAGGGACAAAGCCCCAAAATACAATGAGACACGCATAGTCCATTTCCAGATCGGTTGGCCCTGCAATATAACAAACACTTTCTCAAAAGAACCAATTTATTTTCGAATATGTAGACAGCTTGTCTAGTCGACTAGTCGCGTACATGTACGCGTCGAGAAGATGTGACCGCTGGGACTTTTCGAAACCCGTCGCGTATCCTTCATCAGAAACATTACCGTAAACAGTAGCAGAAACGGATAATGCATGCACAGGTAGTTGCAGTATATATATATATATATATATTAATATATACGCGTAGATCTACGCATATATATCGATATATACGCGTGTCGACTATAACAGTTACCAAATATAAGTTGTTTCATTCACGACTCAAAGTCAATATATTAAACTAACTTACGGTAACGATTGTCCCACTATATAATCATTAGGTGACCCGAGAAGTTCAGAAAATTTATCGCCAAGGTTAACCCAGCTGTTAGGCAAGTCCATTGAGAACTTTTTTGAATTAATTTGACCTATTATTGCGCAGTAAAACTGACTGCCAATGTTCGTAATGGTTAATGGTTGATGCCTTTGTTTTTAATTATTGTTCTAACCAATCGAAAATAAAAGTATTAATTTATTAAAAAAGTTCACAACAGACTTAGCTTGATAGAATAGCTGGAGGCAAATCCGTAGGAATGGCTACCGAGTATTTACACTAAGGGTTGTGGGCTCTTGGCCCTACTTATGTGTTGTTTAAATTTATCAATAACCA